AACCTAGAGAGACTAATAGTATGATGTAAGGCAGCTTCTTCTATTCATGTATTAAGTGGGAGGGAAAATATTTCATGGCTCAAAGCATCTTGACCTGCAAGCAATACAATCTATACTATTTTCTTTTCTTACATAATTAACGACCGGTGACCATTCCCAGTAGGTGAAGGTGGAAGTCAGCCTTTTTTGCTAAAATTTCCCAGAGCTTTTACATCTCACACTTCCCTTTACCATTGCATGGAAGCGTTTTACAGGCTTATCTGCCAGCTGACAACCCTTCCTGGTCGGCTTGATGAAGGCGAGGTGCCTCAATGAATCCGTTCGTCCACCACACTCGGTGCCTCTGGCTCTGGCAGCAACCATCTTCCCAGAATGACTCAGGAGTAAGCACCGCTGAATCCAGCGGGGTTTATTCTTTGAGGATTAAGCCGAGGTTAGAGTTGTTTTGTTAGTGGCTAGGCAGCCAAATGTCCCACTGTTATCAGAGGCACCTACAAGTTCTCCGGAATACCGAAGACGGCGGCGCCCCGATTAGAACACCGCGAAGTCAGAGGCGAAAAGAGAACCGCAGGAGCAAGGGGAGCGCGAGAGACCCCTTCGGTAGTGATCCTTACCTGCTCTGGCGATAGATTGGGAGTCGGTGAGTAAAAGCGGAGTACGGTCCTCCTCGTCTTCTGCCTCTTCTGGCTCCGGAGTCTGCATGTCGCCTTTCTCCGGAATCCAAAGAACGCCGCGAGACACCCCGCCGCGTCTCCCGGGCTAGAAAAGCAAAGCCACCGGAGCAGGCATGTGACCGCCAGCGGGCGGAAATACGACTCCTCTCAGGATTCAGCCGCCTCAGCCGGCTTTTCTTCTTTCCCCGCTTCCTGTAGTCGGCCATCTTTGGTACTGGAATTCGTCTTCCGGTTGATACAAGCAAAGGCGGGGGACTGCGGATCCCGCCTCCGGCCGTGGAAACCGCGAAGTCTGTCCATACCTGCAGCGCTAACGAATTTGTGATCGCGTGAACTTTCAAGGGGCAGGGGGAGAAGTGATGGGAAAAGGGTCAGAGATGGAGAATTGCCCTGTAATGCCAGCAGGTGGCGGCACCTAGGTGCCCCTGGCTGCTCAGGGTTAGGTTCAGGAGAGCCCAGCCTAGGAAATCCGTGAAAACGCCAGAAGGCATTGGTAAACTTTTGCTCTGGTAGTGATCTATGAATTACAGCTCAACAATTTTTCCAGGAAATGGGTCTTTCCAATTTTATCAGTGAGGGCCCCCTTTTTTGTGTGTTGTTATTTTTGGACTCAGTTGAACTTCTTTCAATCCAGGTACAACTATCTTTATGTCAAGCACTGGGGAAGAAAACTAGAAATAAAGTATTTATTGAAAAAAGATGGCTTATTTGCAAAATAGAAGATCCTGTGATGGACTTGGCTATACTCTATCTTATTGGATTTCTGTGTAGTCCAAAAGCAAATTTACATGTATAAAGGTGCTCAGCAGCCTAGGTGGTACTTTAAAGTCTGTGTAAGAAATAGGATATCCTATAGACAGCCATCTATCCTATCCATAGGCTATCCTATTTCTTACACAGACTACAGATAGATATACTAACTAAAGACATACAGTACAGAAACCATAATAATAATAATAATTAAAAAAACTTATTCTAGACTAGATGATAATGAAAGTAGCCTTCTAAAATAAATAGCAAATGCATACCTTTCCACAAACCTCATTTTTACATTACTTTTTGTTTAGAAAAGAGATAACTAAATTGCTATCCTTGTACTGGCTTGTTTTCCTCCAGTTGCTGAGCTGGTCAGGAACAAACAAGGAGCAGTAAAAAAGAAGCAGTAAGGAAATATAGAAGGGTTGCAAAAGGATGACCGCAGTGTCAGGTCCTGACCCTCCACCAAAATGCTGAGAATAGGGCAGGGTATTTAAACTGTTAAAAATAGGGGAGGATATCATTCTGAGATAAAGTGTCAAGGCAGCTAAGTAGAGGAAGACTTTTCATATCCTTTTCCATTGTCTTTTGCAGAGCTGCAGTATGGCCAAAATACAAATTAATTACTGTACTGGTAAATATTATAAAATGTCCTGTTCTGTTGGAGTGCACAAAAGCCTTATCTTTCCAGACAGAAGAACACTTGGAATATTTGTAATTATATACTAGGCAGGATAGTGTGACAGAGTGTTGGAGTAGAAAGATAAGTTCAAATCCTCCCAGTTATGTTATTTACTGGGTGCCTTCAGACAATCCCCCTTTTTTTTACTGAAGTAGAAAAGCAAGGAATGATAAATATTACATGGAGGAATTGTGATGAAATATGGAGTTAAACCCCTTCCAACTGTGTAATTGTCCCACTCTAATTTAATTGCAGTGATTGTTTTTATATACTTTAAGCAAAGTTAGTTAAATAGCTGCAGATACGTATGAAGTGAAAAAACATTATTTCTAAAGAATGTAAAAAGAGGCAGAAGAATATCTGACATATGGTGGGGTGATTAATAGTGATGTGATGTTTGAAAACCTGAAATACTATAAAATTATCATTTGTAGACAGTCTAAATGTTTAGTTAATCTACTTTGTTTATACACAGATTCCCCTAAAATTATTATGGATGCATATGTAATAGAAATCAGAAACAATATTTCAGGTGCAATGCAAGGTGCTGTTTGTCATTTTTAAAATCCTTAGTGAAGGAATGGGAATTGGTGGCCCAACAGATGCTATCTAAACTACAATATTTAGTATTCCTCACCATAAGTCAGGTTTATTTTGTTGCTGGAGGTGTAATTCTAAGAATATTGAAAGACTACTGATAGAGGTACCCTATCACTAACTTTGTGACATAAGGCTTAATTTTTAATGAGCTCTAAAAACCTCTACCAATATAACCCTGCCTAGTAATTAAACTGTAGAGAGGCTTTATTGCCCAGAAAAATTCTTCTGTAAGATTTTTCCTGTGTTGATCCCAAATGCTTTCCTATGTTGATCTCAAAGTGTGAAATGTATTTGCTCCAGAATTAATTTTGGCCCTCATTCTCTTGACTTCAGGAAAAATATCAAGATCTGTCAAGACCAGTATATTGATGACAGATGGCTCTACATCTCAATCCTGGGCTGAGTAGGTGAAGCTGTCAATGTACTAACCCAGTGGCTGGAGGCTGTTCGGGTCTGGAAGGGAACAAACAGAGTTTAGCTCAATCCTAACAAGACTGAGTGGCTGTGGCTGTTGGGATCCTCTGGATTGGGGACACTTTCTCTTTTGTTCTTAAATGGGGTTGCACTTCCCTATTTGAATTGGTGTGCAACTCTGGGGTCCTCCTGGACTCACAACTACTGCTTGAGAAACAGGTGACAGCTGTGACCAGGAGGGTCTTTGCATGGGTTCATCTTGTCTATCAGCTGCACTCTTTCCTTGAACAGGAGGCCATTCAGATGGTCACTCATGCCCTGGTCACCTCACAATTGGAACACGCTCTACATGGAAGTGCCATAATGGGCACTTCTCATTGCTGCTATGTGAGTTGCATTAGTTGCTGGTCAGCTTCTGGGTGCAATTCAAGGTGCTGTTTGTCACCTATAAAGCCTTTCAAGGCATGGGGCCTGGTTATCTGAGGGACCGCCTAGTTTTTGCCCTCCCAGTATATTTGGGCAGAGTGAGTAGGCTCCAGGTCCCCTCAATTAAACACTGTCATCTTGTGGGACCAAGGAAGTATGCCTTCTCTGTTGCTGCCCCTGCTCCCTGTAATAGCATTCCTCTAGAATAGCAACCTCTCTCCTGGGGTTTCAGAAGGCCCTTAAGACCCCACTCTTAAGGATAACATTTGGTTACCTACAGCAGAAGGGTCCCAATAAGGACCATGGAGTTTGATGCTAAATGCATGCTTTTATTCTTTGCTCTTTAAAAAAAAAATAGCTAGGCTAATACATTTTTTTTAAATAGCTAGGCAAAAAATGTATACTGTATGTTGGAATTGGGATGTCTGAAATGATCATAGCAGTATAGTTTAGAACACTTTCACCCTTTTGCCTCTTTGCGAAACATTACATAAAATTTAAAGTGCTGCTCAGATGCAGAAGTTCAAAATATATTTTATAATATATAAAACATTATTTATATGTTCCTGCAAGGTAAACCTAGGATAACTTGCTTCCACAAAATAAACAATCATTTCTCTTCATCAAAAGAGCCTTATTACTAAGTGATTTTCCAGAAGGCAAATCAGTTAGAAACTGATTGTTGCAGTGCAAAAATAGGTTGTGGGCCATCTGAAATAATAAGCCTACTTGTCCAGAAAATCTTCCATAATGACTTTTCATATAAGCAGCACATTGCCACACTTGGTTAGTAAAACCAAGTCTTGTACGGTGCTATCCATTCCACAGGAAGCTCTCACCCACCTTCAATCATATTCCCTCCATTTTCAAGACAGTGCCATCCTTGACTGGCATCCAGCACAAAACTACATTTTTTATGCAGGGCGTGAAGAGTATTGTAAACTGTGACACATAACAACAACGGTAACAAAACATAAAGAACTGGAGCTATTTTTTTAATCTTCTGATTGGGAAATTGTCTCCCTCAAACTTTCTGGCAAGGAGCTAGGCCTAGGCTTTTAGCTTTAGGTCCCAAAGTGCATTCACTTAGATCCATATTCCAAATAAACTGAGGACTAGTTACCAACTTCAGCGAGGCCTGTTGTAAACCAGCTAAGCGGGAACATCCCTCTGCTGGAGTCTGTATTTCCAATGCTGACTCACTTCTTCCAGCAGCCCAGCTCCTTTCCCCCGTAAACTGCTGGCTTGCGCTGGATCTCTTAAAAACTTGCCTTTCTTTCAGCTACCAGACCTCCGGAGTGAGAGCCCGCGCACTATTTCGTGGACTAGAAAGCTACCTAATAAAACACCGCTGGCCCTACGTGTGGGAAAATACCTTCCTCCGGCTTCCCCTCCCCCTCGCCCTCGCCCCGGCTCCTCCACCTGGAGGGTGGAAAAGGCTTGTAGGCATGAAGGCCGTCCCCGTTTCGGCGGGAGCCGCGAGTGGAAGAGGCGGGGCGGAGGAGAGCCGTGCCTTTGCAGAAGACGCTACCCAGTTTCGACAGCAGGAGCTGCTTCCACCTCCCGAACTAGCGGGCGGCTCCTCGCGGCTTAGCGCGGAAAAGCAGGGTGACGCTGCGAGTGGAGCGGAGCACCGTTCTCTCCAACGCGGCTGCCCCGTTCCCCAGGACGAAGAAGTCGACTTCTTACTGGAAGAAGAAGAAGAAGAAGACTTCTTACTGGAAGTCGCTCCCGCTACCCGGAGGAGCTCTTGGCTGTTCCCCATCCTCCCCCTCATTCGGGGCTTCGTGATAGTTTCATCGCTTGTTGCCGCTGGGTAGGGAAGAAAAAAAAAAATGGGGGGAGAAGGGGTTGAGAAGGAGAATTATGGCGGGAAGGGAGAAGGGAAGGAAAGCGGAGAAGAGCATCTTCCTTGAGAATTGCGTCCTCCACGGGAGGCCTCAGCTTGCATCTCTCAGGAGTTCGTAGTCTGGAGCAAAAGAGTGCAGAATATTAGGCGCTACGCTCAAAATTGCCCGAACAACTGCTTAATTTTCTGGATGCAGGTGATCGCAGGCATGAATGGATGTGGTGCCAGAAGCTTGGGGAAAGATCGTTATGGAGATTCTCCAAAATCTTCTCATTATTGGAGAAAAACCTCCTTGTGCTTCTATACCTTTATTTCAGTATATCTCAGAGACATATCAGGGCTCCTTTGCTTATGTTTTAATAACTTCCTAGGGATAAATGGTGTCCCATGTATAGGCTTCAGTGTGGCTTCTCCAGAACTGTGTGAAGGATACAAACAAGTAGTTTTTCTACTTACAGTATAATCTTCCTCTCTACTTTCATTTTGCTCAACCCTGTCCCCCAAGAAATTATTTTAAGACTTAAAAACGACATAACTGATGAGAGAAAGATGTAATTTTTGATGGGTTGCCCTTGTACCCTCAGGATTGAGTCTAGTTAATATAGGTAGCAATAGCAAATTCTAATATTATGCATTTTAATAACAACTGACAGTAAATTTTATTTAACAAATTTATATGGCCGCCCAACTCACACACAGTGATTCCATGTGGCTTACAAAGTAAAATCCCCTATATAAAAAAACCCATCAACTCCCACCCCCCATGGCGGCCAAAAACAAAATCAACACAACCATTTGATCGGCTCCTTTTCAGCTTGGGGTCTCCAGGCCTGCTGGCAAAACCACATCTTCAGGGCCTTCCAGAACAACATCAAGGTGGGGCCAATCTCAGAGGTAATAACATTCCACAGGGAAGGGGCCATCATGGAAAAGGCCCTTCTTTGTGGTCCCATCAGATGTACTTCCCCCAGCAATGGGACCTGCAACAAACCCAGCCTTGCTCTGGTGGGCCAGGTAGATGTAACTGGGGAAAGGCAGTCCTGCAACTAACCAAGCCCCAAGTCATGTAGGGCTTTAAAGGTGATAACCAGCACCTTGAATTGGATCCGGAAGCAAATCAGCAACCAATGCAGCTCCCGCAAAAAAGGTGACACATGTGCAAATCTGGACTTGCACAGAACTATGTAGGCCGCTGCATTTTGAACCAACTGAAGCTTCTGAATACTCTTCAAGGGCATCCCCACGTAGAGCGCATTACAATAGTCCAAGCAGGAGGTGACTAGGGCACGGGTGACTGTGAGAAGGGCACACTGGTCCAGGAATGGGTGCAACTGACGCACAATTCGCAGTTGTGCAAAGGCCCTCCTAGCCACAGCTGCCATCTGCTCCTTGAGCAGGAGTTGTGAGTCCAGAAGAACCCCCAGATTGCGCACTGGGTCCGTATGGGGCAGTGGCACCCCATCCACGACCAAAGTTGATAATTCTCCCAGAACCAGGGAGCACTGAATCTAAAGCCACTCCGTCTTTCAAGGGTTCAGTTTCAATCTCTCGCTCCCCATCCAGATCTCAACAGCTTCCAGAAACTTAGAGAGGGCAGTCGCAGCATTGCTTAACCCACCATGGGTAGAGATGTATAACTGAATATCATCAACATATAGTTATCACTTACCATATTCCACTATACTAAATTCTTGATTGATTCTTGATTCTATGGAGACACAAGAAAACATAAAAGTCTATGAAAAGCATGTTGAATTTCTTTGTTTACTGCATCTAAGGTAAGGCCTTGTTCAAAATTTTCTTGGCAAATTAAGGATAAACACACACTGAGATATATTTTTCCAAAAGTGATAGTATACTCTTGTTTCATGATAATCTCAGTTTCAGCAACCAAGAACCAAACTCCTTTAATTTTCTATAGAATGAATTATTCAGATTACAAAAATGTGAAAAATGTACCATGACATCTTAAATCAGAAGCAGGCAGTCTGTTCTGAATCAACCTTTCTGTGCCCCTTGAAGCTTAATCTAACTATGTGATATAGCTCCACCCACTTTGCAGCCTTTGGTCCTCATTAAATTAAATTTTTAAAAAGCTGTTGGCCACCAAAACATTGCCCACCTCTACCTTAATGACAAACACATCTCGTTTATACTCACATTTATTTGAACTTCTACAGACCAATCACCCAAGAGAGGATATTTGGATAATTTGAACTGTTTAGCAATCTTGCCCAGTCTTTCATTCTGTGTCAACCATTGCTGAATCAAATTTTGCTAAGGATCCTTAAAAAAAAAAGTATATGCTAAACTACTGTATATATTCAGAATGGAGAATTTAGTGCAATATATGACTGCTAAAATAGGTTCATGGCAACAAAGTATGCTTCAGTAGAAAACATTCAATTAGAAAACTTCTCCAACTATATTAGATAATCAAAAAAGTTGCCTTCTCCTTGCAGATAAAAGTTCCTGTGACAAATGTTAATTTTCACAAATGCTTTCACTTTCTCATTATATCACAATGAGTTTCATGATTTGTTATGGACCCTCTATGCTACTGTCTTGGAGGACTTTATTTCTGAAGAAAATTTTCATTTGTTACCAAATTCTCATTTCTTACTTTGCTAGTTGCTAAGCTATGGTTTGTTTAACCACAACTCACTGAAACCAAACAGCTGTATTATGGCTTGCTGTACAATGCATATCAGGCCCACTGTAGCACATTTTCTGATGGTAAAGTATTTTCTACACATGAACATATTTAATAAAACCCCAACATTTTTTAATGTTCTTTTATGCCACCCAGAGTCACACTGTTTGAGTTGGGTGGCCATATAAATGCTTTAGATAAATACAAATAATTAAAGCTGATGCTTTCCAACAGTCTCCTGGTTAAAAGTTGAGTGAGTGACAGTTGTGATTGAACAGTGACAGAAGTGAAAAGTGAATTATGTTACAGAGACCACAGAAGTGTGTGGAGTGATGTTAATAGTACAAAAAAGATACTTGGTGGAATAGAGAAGTGAAAGAGGCTGTGGATGAAAAAAAGGCACATCGGAGAATAAATACTGCAACAAATGAGGATGGAAATTATAACGTGTATACAGAGAAGAAGATATCTGAAAAAAAATATAGTCAAAGCAAGGAACATTTAAGGTTAAAAAAGAGAAATTGTAGAGTTTTTTGATGGTAACAAAAATTGTTTGGGGAATAGGTGAAAAGGGATAAACATTTTTTATTTCTTTATTTTTCTTAAAATTTAAAACATACCCAATTAACAAAACAATATTTAAACTAAAAAAACTTTAAAAAAATAGAAAAGAGATACCCCCAAACAAACTAAAAATACAAACTAAGGAAGAAAAGAAAAAGAAAAAAAATCTATCTTATATTTTATACTAATCAGTAGTTACTGGTTTACTAATGAATACACTACTATAATATGATCAGTAGAAAATATTATTGTGAAATAGCACAAAATCT